AAAATGAAAATCAAGTTCCTGCTTTGGCAAGACACTGGGGTTGATTTACTAAAACTGGAGCGGACAAAAACCTGGTGCAGCTCTACATGGCAGCCAATCATCTTGTCAGCTTGTTCAATTAGGCCTGTTTCATACGGCTTCAGTATGTATAAGAGCAGTGTTAAGGAAAGCTTTGACAAAGCATTTGCAGAGCTTTCACCAAGCTTTACTGAAGCTTTTAAAGTACCATTCAGCTCCAGTTTGTGAATGTTGAACACAGATACTAATGGGGTGTTGATTGTCAATTTAAGCAAGCTGCTAGTAGGCTTCAGAATTTCTTGAAGCTTGTTGAAAGTCTTCTGAAGCCTGTTAGCAGCTTGTTTAAAGTGACAATCAGCTCATTTCAGCATTTACAAATTGGAGCTGAAAGACACCTTAAAGGTTTCAACAACTTGTCAAAGCTTGTTGTTCACACTGCTCTTAAAATTGAAAAGCTACCTATTTCTAGAAAAAAAAATCGTAAATCAAGCAAAAAATGTCTTCCTAGTTTTGAATAGAGTGGGGAAGGGTTAAAGCCTCAGCCAGGTCTCATCAACTGGTTTACATAAAATATTTAAAAGCCCCACTGCAGATGCCCAATTTGTGGCATTGTGGTCAGAATGGAGCACATAGAAAACATGTTTTTTTATGTCCTCATAGGGGCAACCTGCATTTATCCAGTGCAGAAATATTCAGGTAACTGTAGATCGATCCCTTACTCCTGGCAAGATGGAGGTGTTGGGATGCATTCACCCCTTTACATTCCATAAGCATAGACAATAATGTTGGGGCAACGGGTTTATGCCTGACACTGTCTAGAAAGGCCATCTCCAGCATACATGCCCCACCATCCTCTGCGGTCCACGGCTCCTTTTACTGAGTAATGCCTATAGTCTGCGGTCATTATGAACTGGCCAGTGAAGATTGCAGGCAGATGTGACACATTATTAATCTGAGGATAAGAACATAACACTTTTTTCTTTTTAAAGAATATTAGACACAGCGTCAGCCAGGCTGCCTGGACCACGTGCTGGTGTTTTCTATTAGTTGTGAGGTATGGTGTGAGTTAGAAGTCTGGATGCTGTCATTGTCTAGGTATTTATGGAGTACATGGAGTCTGTTTGTACAGATACTGTTGTTAGGGACAGGGTATGACTTAGAACAGCTAAATGTGCATCTTTACATAATGGTAAAGGTGAGAGTTCATGTTTAGCTGTCAGGTCAGCTGGATGGTTTTTGCATCACACCTGACAATAAAAAATTAGACACAACTGAACACTTAGTAATGTCTAAAACAGCAGTGGCCAAACTACTAGATATGGGGTTCTCAAGTGCAGTCCCTGACATCGCCAAAGTGTCAAACATAAGATTTGGTGGATGGAATGCCAGAGATGACTTTCAATTTTCTGACATATTAGAAGAAATGGTCAGAGTCTGGGACATGATACAGGGGATGGTCAGAGTCTGGGACATGATACAGGGGATGGTCAGAGTCTGGGACATGAAACAGAGGATGGTCAGAGTCTGGGACATGATACAGGGGATGGTCAGAGTCTGGGACATGAAACAGAGGATGGTCAGAGTCTAGGACATGATACAGGGTATGGTCAGAGTCTGGGACATGATACAGGGGATGGTCAGAGTCTGGGACATGAAACAGAGGATGGTCAGAGTCTAGGACATGATACAGGGTATGGTCAGAGTCTGGGACATGAAACAGAGGATGGTCAGAGTCTAGGACATGATACAGGGATGGTCAGGGTATGGTATGGTCAGTCTAGGACATGATACGAGAGATGATCAGAGAATAGGATACGATACAAGAGATGGTTGGACATTTAAAGCGGATTTCCACTCACACTGTCAAAAAATAAAAGTCAGCAGCTACAAAAAACACACACTCACCTGTCCCTCGTGGTGTGTCCCCTGCAGCCCGTTTTACCGGCCATCTTCTCTCCCTGGGTGTGCTGGCATCTGCAGTGTGGGCACCCGGGTGTGACAGTTTGCGGCTTCACAGCCGGGTACCCACTGCACATGCGCGAGTAGCGCTGCACTTTGTGAATGGTCCTGTAGTCTTCAGGGACCTGTCACGTGTCCCAAAAGACTAGAGAGGGAGGACACCTTCCACTTCCGATCGCCTAGGTGATTGGGGCGGAAGTGGGAGTGGGTACCTGTCAAATTCGGGTACCCGCTCCCCCCCCGCCCCCCAAGTGTGCCAATCCTTAATGGGGAGCGGGGGGACCAGTCTTTAAAGTGGAACTTCCCCTTTTGGGTGGAGCTCCGCTTTAAGCTGGTCATACATGTATAGATTTTCATTCGAGAATTTTTGTTTCAAGAATATTCGTTTGATTTTCTAATCATTAGTGGGGGTCAAATCGATGTTTGTTTTTGACCACAGTAACAGGAAAATCCAAAGGGGCAGGAAGGAATACTTTTCTCAATCAAAGAATTTTAAGCAGGTGTATGTGGTGATCATTCAGAAATGACATTAATTTTAAAGTTGAATATTAAAAGGAAAAGACAATTTTTCAGACGACATTCGTCCATTCACCGAATGTTCAAAGAATTTTCGTACGAATATTCTCGTCCGAAAATCTACACGTGTATGGCCAGCTTTAGGCATGATGGAGATTAGAGTCTGGAACATGACCATCAGATGTTCAATGTCCGGGACAAAATAAAGAAATTGGTCAGAGTCTGGAACATGATACAGAAATTGGTCACAGACCATGATACAGAAGATGGATAGAGTCCAGGACATGATACAGGAAATGACTTGAGTTTTGGATATGATACGGGAGATAGTGGAGTCTAGCATATGATACAGGAGAAGGTCAGAGTCTGAGACATGAGCAAGAGATGGTCAGAGACTGGGACAAGGTACTACTGGGGTCTGAGGGTCGCACACTAAGAACCAAATGGTCACATGGTCAGGAACCAAGGTAAAATATAGTATATATTTAAAGTAGTTGTAAATATGAAGAAAGCAAATTCCTCTTTATTGTGAACTTGTCTCAATTGAAAGCACTAAGGGGGTTATTTATTAAAACTGGAGGGTGCAAAATAAAGTGCACTTCTGCATAGAAACCAGCCAGCTTCCAGGTTTTATTGCCAAAGCCGAATAGAACAAGCTGAGGTTAGAAGCTGGTTGGTTTCTATGAAGAACTGCACCAGATTTTGCACATTTCAGGTTTAGTCATTTCTGTCTGCTGTTTCATTCCTCTGCTAACAGCATAAATCACTTCTGACGGGTTTTCCTGACACCAAGAAGAAAAAAAAGGACAGGGGAGGAACCTCCAACAGATTGACAGCCTCAGTTCTGTTCCTGTATGATTCGGGTGTGGCCCTTCCCTCCAATCAGCTCTCAAAGCTCTCCTCACTGAGCTCTGCAGAGTGTAATTCTAGCTCTCCACCCCTTTTTTCTGAACTCTCAGACAAGCTGTGTAAATTCTGCACTTTGAATGGATGTAGAAGAAGGAGGATTACAGATAGACCAGTACAACTTATATAGGAGGATCTTTTTAATTTCTGTGTATCACCTAAGGCCTTTCACTTCACTGGGTATATGTGAGGGTTTACAACCACTTTAAAGCAGTAGTAAGCCGCAGACAAAAAAAAAAAAAAAAAAGTCCCCTGGAAAGTAATGTCATAATGTGGTAGTATGCATAGCATACTAGCACATTATGTAAGGCTTACCTGAAAAGCCCTCCAGCGGCGAGCTGTCACTGTTGTAGAGGCTTCCATCTTCACCCGTCTTCCTTCCGGGTTTGTGAGCTCTGGCCTTCTGACAGGCCGGGCCACAATGACGTCACTCCCATGCATACGCTCGGGTGTCCCGGGTCATGGCACACAGCTCTGAAGGAAAGGCACGGGTATGCCGTTCCTTCAGAGCGCATGAGCTGGATGAAATGGTGCACATGTAGGAGATATTCATTTTACCTACAAGTAAGCTTTATTATAAGCTTACCTGTAGGTAAAATACACAAAAACAGAAGTTTACAACTACTTTAAGTGCATATTTTTAGTTATTAAAGTAACATTTGTCTGAAAGTAATTTTAAACGCCTGTCAGTTTTACATGGCTGCTAGTCCATTCTTTGATTGCATTTAATATACAGATTGGTAAATGCTTCCTCTAGTGGTCCGCTAGGGCATCATAAGGAATTTGATCAGTAGCGAGGCTAAACATCAAAAATGTAAAATAGCTTTTCTCAGTTCAGCTAAACTGTTCGCTGTGACCAAACCATTTGAAAAAAACACCAGGCAGGTTTCAGAAGTGCAAAAATAGAGCTTTTTATCTCCAGATCAGCAGCCAGCTTGGTTAGCCAGGAAATGCCATCTACATGCTGCCACCCAGTAGTTGTAGCATCAGAAAAATGAGCTTCTACCCACCACTGGTCTTTCTTCAACTTTATTATATATGCATGTCATTTCATTACTGGAAGTCTGCAAATGAGGTGTTTTTGACCACAGGTCTTCACATCCTGTCCAGACTGCGTAATGGCCACAATGTACACTGAATACTGTATCCCACCCCATTACATAAAGCAGGCCCCAAATTGTGTACATATTCTGTACTCAAAATAGTGACACCGCCTGCAAAATTTATTGTACCATAGTTTTCAAACAATTCTAACAATGCATACAAGAGCACAAGGAGGGTTACTACCTTTAACCACTAGCCTACAGGGCACTTATACCCCCTACCTGCCCAGGCCAATTTCCAGCTTTCAGTGCTGTCACACTTTGAATGACAATTGCGCAGTCATGCAACACTGTACCCATATGAAATTTTTATAATTTTTTTGTGACAGATAGAGCTTTATTTTGGTGGTATTTAATCACCTCTGGGTTTTTTTTGATTTTTCTTAAACAAACCAAAAACCATAGAAAATTTTGAAAAAAAAACGTTTTTTTTTAGTTTTTGTTATAAAATTTTGAAAATAAGTGATTTTTCTCCTTCACTAATGTGCGCTAATGAAGCTGCAGTGATGGGCACTGATAGGCTGCACTGATGGGGAGGCATGGTAGGTGGCACTGATGAGCATTGATAGGCATCACTGATGGGCACTGAAAGGCAGCACTTATATATGGCACTGATAGGCAGCACTGACAGGTGGCACTGATAGGCAGCACTGACTGGCACTGTTAGGTAGCACTGACTGGTACTGTTAGGCAGCACTGATGTGCGGCACTGACTGGCACTGATAGGCGGCACTGGTACATGTCACTGATTGGCAGCACTGATAGGTAGCACTTACTGGCATTTGATAGGTGGCACTGATGGGTGACACTGAAAGGCAGCTCAGATGGGCACTGATATGTGGCATTGATGTACACTGGTAGGCACTGATATGTGGCATTGATGTGGCACTGGCAGGTGGCATGGATGAGCACTGACAGCTGGCACTGATGGACACTGACAGGTGGCACTGCTGGGGCTACACTGATCATCAGAGCCCTGATCATCAGTGATCAGTGTAGATGTCCCCTCCGAGGAATGCGATTACCGGCTCTCCTCTCCTCACGAGCTGTCAGCGTGACAGCTCGTGAGGAGAGAAATGCCGATAACCGGCATTTCCCTATTTACATGCGATCAGCTGTGATTGGACACAGCTGAACACATGACCGAGCCGACATCTTCGGCTCTTTCCGTTGATCAGTGATCCACTGTGTCCAAGGGACACAGCGCACCACCGATTGCCGCGTTGTGCTCTCCCGGAGCCGCGCATGTGCGGTTAGAATGGGAGGACGTCATATGACGTCTTCCGAGAACGAGAGAACCGCCTTGCGCCCGTCACTGTACTATTTGGCGGGCAGGAGGCGGTTAAAGTGTCACTGAACCCACAACAGTAAAATCAACCTGTATATGTAGTAAAGCATGCTTGTTATATTCACTATGGAACCTAAAGGGGTTAATCTTCTGCATTGTGTAAAATTGCCATTTGTTCTTTTTTTTAATAATTATTATTATTATTAATATCTTTTATTAAATTGTATTTCAATACATATTACAACAGAATAACATTTATCAAAACATAAACAGTCCAGCTAGACTTCTTTAACCCTCCATCCATCCCTCCATTATCCCTCCCAGCCCGATATATACCCCTGTCCAGATAGTTCTATTCCATTTCTTTCTTAACCTGTCCACTAATCACAGTCAAAACCCTATATTCTGTCTTCACACTACAACTTTCCATTTATTCGGTTTAATTCTCCAACTCTACCACCCCACCAGGGCATCCATTAATTTAAGATATGTGTTTGTTCCTGATTGCTTTGTTCCTCCCCTTGTTTAAGTGACCACCTCTTAGCTCCTGATAAGACAGACTGAACAGTAGGCATTTTGCACATGCTCAACTTGGTGTGTATTGCTAGAGAGGTTTGTTTTTTCTTGGGGGAGTGCATGTGATCAGCACAGTGCCAATCAGCACTGATCAGACAGAGGGGGGTTTTGCATCCTCCTAGAGCAGAAGCTTTAGATAGTGCTTGGCTGAACACTGATAGAAGTCACAAGATTGCTTTAACTGCTGATGAGAAAAGGTATTTAGCAGCTTATATTTACTAAAATAATAGCACTTCCATGTTCTTGTACTGTGGGAGACCAGCTATAGTGAATGCAGGGTTCTGGGTTTATCAACAGATTAAATTGGTCCCATCAGTTTGGATCTGTGCAGTACAGGAAGGGGGAAAGAGTCACTACTCGGACTGTATCTAATCTGAGCTTCAGCTGTCCAGCTCTGTATATTTTACCTCAGGGAAGGGTCCCATCTAATTGCATTTAAGCTCTGTGTCCCTTCCCTCCAGTAGCAAGAAGCTCTCTTCACTGAGCTCTGCAGAGTGTAAACCAAGCATTTGCCCCCTTTTTTCCAGTCTCAGAAAGCTGGAATACAATCATGCCACTTTTACTCTCAGTTCAAGGCTTCTAATATCACATGGAATAAGCAGGACTGGCTACTGATCATGTGACTGATGAGAGAGCCAATTGCAGCAGTCCAATTGCAGAAAAGTCACATGACAGAGAAGTCTGGAAAAAAAGAGAAATCCAAGCGGCATTGTGAGACAGCCCAAGAAGGTGTCATTAAGGGGCTATTTATACAGCAACTAGATCTTAAAGTGGTTGTAACCCTCAGATATGAAAAAATGAACAAAGTATATCCCTCTATAGTGTGTACTTCTCTCATTTAAGAGCACTGTCATTTCTGTCTGCTATTTCATTCCTCTGCTATTACGAGTCACTTCTGACACCAAGAGAAAAACAGTGACAGGGAAGGGTCTTCCATCTAATTGACAGCCTCAGCTCTGTGTCCCTTCCCTCCAATCAGCTGTCAGAGCTCTCCTCACAGAGCTCTGCAGAGTGTAACTTCAACTCTCTGCCCCCTTTTTTCTGAAGTCTCAGAAAGCTGTATATATACAATCACCGGCCGCTTTATTAGGTACACTTGTTCAATTGCTTGATAACACAAATTGCTAATCAGCCAATCACATGGCAGCAACTCAGTGCATTTAGGCATGTAGACATGGTGAAGGGTGACTTGCTGAAGTGCAAATTGAACACCAGAATGGGGAAGAAAAGGGATTTAATTGACTTTGAATGTGGGATAGTTGTTGGTACCAGACGGGCTGGTCTGGAGTATTTCAAGAACTGCTGATCTACTGGGATTTTCACGCACAACCATCTCTAGAGTTTACAAAGAATGGTCTGGAAAAAAAAGAAAATATCCAGTGAGCGGCAGTTGTGTGGATGAAAATGCCTTGTTGATGTCAGAGGAGAATGGGCATGGATCCATCCCCATTGTATCAACGGTTCAGGCTGGTGGTATAATGGTGTGGGGGATATGTACCTTGCAGAGAAGAGAAAACTGACGATAAACAGGTACAGCTTATGTAGGAGGATTTGTGTCATCTCTTTGTAACTCCTGACGCCAGTCACTTCACTGTGTAGACTGTATGTCAGGGTTTACAACCACTTTAAATGAGAAGTCCACCTTTCTGGCCATGCTTCATGGTGCACACAAATTCAGGGTGTAACATGAAACAGGGTCAGACTTTGTGTCCCTCCCGCCCCCAAACAGGGGTTCTTTTCCCAGCTGTTTTCTGGCATTATTTGAATTGTCCCATGCAGCCACCATCATCATTCCAACACCACAATCTGTGAATGAAGAAACTATAAGTCCCATATGCCACAGCAGCAGAGGGATTCGCAGATCTCAACAGAGCACAACTGTGATGATGTCACCACACTTGAAGACTACTGATAGTTCTACCAGCCCCGTAACTGAACCTGCAGCTGAAGAATGAGTCTGGAGGATCTAGTAGCCTTGTACCACCACAATCCACTGACTGCAGATGCTTTACATTTTTTATTAAGCAATACGAGTGCATGTATTATTATTATTTTTTTCAAAGGTTGGATTATGCCTTTAACCCCCCTGGAGGTATTCCTGAGTGTAGCTTGGGATAAACGTTTCAGCACCACAAGCGGTAACTCCGAGCTACACTCGGGAATACCTTGCAGCGTTGTTCCGGGATCCCTTCTGCACTCACCTTGTCCTTCGCTCCCGCGATATCCCCCTGCAGTGTCCCAGGCCATGTCCTCCGGCCGATGCCAGCATCTGTCTTCCAGGTTCTATTCCCTGCGACGTCGGGATGTACGGGGGATGTAACCGGTGGGAAATTTGAAAATGTCAAAAAGTGACATTCATTAAATACACTAAAATCACATTACTGTATCAAAGCATTTCACATACATTTTGTCCCGAGTGCTTTGTCCTGCGCCCTGCCTGCATTTTTACTGTTCTTTTTGCCTGGAAACTGAGAAATGTCCATGGCGTCCAAAAAGCGTCCCTTTAGGTCAAAAGTGGTTTTAGACCGGCTAGAGAACAGTGATAGTAAATCAGAACCACTTGCAGAATTGAGTGATAAAGATTTGTGGGGAAAATTCGTCATCAGACACTGAAAACGATTTTGTGACTTTGCTCAGTGATGTGCGAACTTGGAGCTCTATTTCAAATTTCAGTGTTTTTGGTTTTGATTACATTATTGAATTAAATTTATTATTATTATATTATTATTTTTTATGATTATTTATTAAATTAAAATTTATGATTTCATGTTTCAAATTTTATCATACCCGGGATGTTTACTAGACTCTTGTTCGGACAGATTTCAGTTATTCCTAAAAATTACAGGCCTATAATAAAAAAACAATATATTTCCATACAAAAAAACGTACCGCTTTGAGCACAGAAATACTGACATAATCAGACCGCTAGGGAGGCTACAATCCCTGATTTCCCCAAATAAGGGGTGTCACGAAACACGGCGTATGCCTGTGTTTGACTGAAGTGTGTGTCTTGGAAAAGGACACTAGACTGTTATGTCCACCATCAGCATACATTCAAGATTCTGTAAGATATACTGATGGATGGGGGCATATGGATAAAGCTGTGAATGTGAAATTAATTAAATGTTCACTTCAGAGGACTCTACCTGGTGCATGTATTTCAAATTACAGGAAACGATTTACCACTTGTGAAAGTTTGAAGTATGTCACAAAGTAATTATCGTTAGCTAAGCTGCACTGGTGACATGACGTAATGGGGTTTCTATGGGCCGTGGCTCCTTTTGTCGTCTTGTTGGGTAGCAGAGCTGCATATTGCAACACTTCACCTCCCCTCCCACCTAGGTCCAGACCATAAACACCAGACAGGAATAAATATCACGTACAGCTAACAGGTTTATTTTTGCTTGCACTGCGTGGGAGTTAAAATCCTGGTAGAGTCCCGGTAAAGTCATTGGTGAGGTGTAGGTTACAACAGTAAACTTTAGCACAGTAGAGACTTCTTAGAAATAAAAGGCCCTAACAGCCAAATGCACAACCAGATCTGTTGATATACACTGCAGTATAGCCCAGTTTTATAGAGCCATTTATTCCAAACTGCATAGAGATGTTTCAGGCTTTTTGGCCATCATCAGTGTAGTGAATGGAAACCATGGCTATTTTTTTTTTGTTATGTGATGAAATGAGACATGTGAAAACCTTCTGTTTTAAGACTTTGGCGTGCTATGCACTGATTCGGTTGGAAGGCCTTTGATTCCTTTCATCTCCTCTGACCATAACCTAATGGCCATACTTTCTCAAACAGTAAACTTCAAGGGCTAGTTTACAATAGTTTTAGCCCTCTGAAGAGCAATCCATTACAGAGGTCGTTATGTTGCCTCCGCACCACACATATTAGCCCCTAAAAACCTGGAAAACCATACCACAACCTTGAGTATTGTACGTAGTTGCATCACAGCTGAATTCAGGTGGATTTTTGCTAGATCAGACATATGCACCTGTCCACTGCCTTTGCAGCTTAAACTGGTTGTAAAGGCTTGAGGTTTTTTCACCTTCATGTATTCTATGCATGAAGATAAAAAACCGTCTGTGTCCAGCCCCCCTAATACTTAACCTGAGTCCCCTCTTGATCCAGCGATGTGTACGAGAGCCTTGGCTCTCTGGGGACTCTCTCACTTCATTAGCTGAGACAGCAGCAGGAGCCATTGGCTCATGCTGCTGTCAATCACAGCCAGTGAGCCAATACGGAGAGAGCAGGGGCAGGACCGAACATTTGGCTCTGCGTGTGAATGGACATGCAGAGCAGCAGCTTAAGGGCAAGCCTACCTGGGTGCCTACT